TATTACCCATATGAACCTACTTCATGGGATCTCCAATCACATAAGTTGGGTTACCATCATTGTTGATATATTTCAAATTGACAAAAGTTTCAACCCCTTGATGTTTCACTTATAAGTCAAAGGATCGGCCAAATCATCTTTTGACTACACATAATATGTATAAAAAATTCGCATATCTAAGCAACTGCTTTATGACATTATATTTTAAGAAAATGTCTACTCTTCCCATTGAAAGATTTATTTTCTTACAATGGTTATTGCTTCTTAGCAATCACAATTCATCGGCATAATTATTGTCGCTTTAACTCACCAAGAGGATGTTTAATCAACCTCACTTTCACGCAATTTTAATACCACAACACCCACCAAACAGTGATCACATAATCACTATTAAGCCTTTCTCATCTGAATCAAAGATTCAATATCATCACTGTATCCTTCAAATACAGTGAAAAATTTACATACAAAATACTAGCTCATAGTACTTCTCAAGTAAGGCATAAAATCATCTTAAATGAAATAAAACTTGACTCCCATACGAGTGCCTTTTGAAATATTTTTCAACACATAATTTTTTTTTGTATCTTCCATAGTCAAGTACCAAAGTAAAAGTTTCTAAATATAGAAGCAACTTTAACTTCTACAATCAATAGAAAACGGATCATAATTCATTGATTTTTTACTCAAATTACTAAGAGACCCGAAGCAACATAACTTTTCAAAGCCATAAATACAACATATTTTTGATCTTGCAATACAAATTTTTTGCCACAAAAAATCTCAATTTTGTAAGGCTTATTATAACATTAATAAGCAATTTTTCTCACATTTTTCCTTCTTAGGATCAGGCTATATAATTCTGGACACCACGGTCCCTCACATTTAAAAAAAATTCAGGTAAAGGAGATAATCTTTTCACAACTTATAAAGAGTTCTACTTTATAAATAACAAGCTAATTATATAGTTTTACCCCATAAATTTTTCTTTTATTTAGCTACATTATTAGATTCAGAAGAATATGAAGGTCTTATCTCATGTATTATTTATGACTACATCACATCATCGTAGTAGTTTATTCACATTAATTATTTTTCATACAAAAGGAATCAAGATCTCATAGTACCGTAGAGTAACTAATGTGTCACTTATAAATCATTTTAAATGACTTTATTTAGAGGACCAAATTGATATTCTCATGACTCAAATAAAACTAGTTATGCTATATTTGAATAAATGTAAGGCAAAAATATTAAGATCTCACAAGATTATGAACAAATACCCAAACTATATCATCCTCAACAAATAATAAGAAAGTAGCATTTTAATTAAAAGATGGGTAAATATTCTTAAAGAAGTAGAATATATCAGGTTGATATGATACTTATAAGATGAGAAATATAAACAATGTTGATGATTTTTCTTCTTTATATATGTCTATTATAAGACAACTTAATATCATTTTCACTAGATCAACTTAACATAATTTTTTCACCATTTTAAAAATTAATGGAAACAAAAGTACAACATGATCTTTTCCATCATTTCAAAAAATAAAATTAATAGAAACTTAAGAGAGTCACTTTCTTCGATCTTATATGTATCAACTGAGCAGATAAAATGCAAACAAACTTCACCACATACTATACAATCAAGATTCTAGTTACTTTAAAATTATATATAATTTTTTTATATAGGTGAGTGGTAACCAATATAAAACTAAATCTCATATAGTTAAAAGAGAACAAAAAAAATGAATACCATTTTATCAAAAATTATAGATAACTCAGAGAAAACATACCAAGTTATCAATATTGAACATCGATATACCGCAGAGTGGAATTAGAACAATGACTAGAATAGTTTGTGCATCCACCATATGAATATCAGCCGGAAACATTGTAATTGGTATTTTCCATAATAACACCTAAATCGGGTGAAATATCCTTAAGATAAGACAACAACAAAGTATGTGCAAGTATAATGTGATAGATAAGATACTAACCTTACAAAAGAATTCTTGGTTCATATAAGTTCTAAATTTCACTAATTATTTTGTAAGTTTAATCTTATTTTATCTAGGTCTGGTTTAGAGTCCAAGAGACACCAGATTTAACGCATTATGCTCATTTGTGAAAACCCAGCAAAACTTTTTATTTCATAATCTTTTTGAGTTATGTAGGGGATTATTAGAAAAATAATTTTGATAACTCTAAAAGAAATATTCAAATTGATGTCTAGGTTCATTCTTTTAAAATTATGTTAATGTGCTTTTATTACACTAATTGTTTTGAATATATTTCTTTAATATTTGTAACTCATGATTGATAAGCTTGAATTCAATCTTAACAAATTGAATCTGACCATTTACTAGCTATTATTGGATTCCTTAAGTTAATCTTTTGACAAACTCAAATCTGACTATTTTATTAGCCTTAATGGCTTTTATTTTGTAACACCCATTTGAATAGCCTTTGAATGGCTTTTAATAATTTTTAAAACGTTGCTTACAATCTGAAGTTAAAATCTTTGGATTATATATATATATATATTTATATGTGTGTGTGTGTTACTTGGAGTGGTGGATGAAAAAAGTAAAAAACTTTTCTTCTCCTTTTTCTTTTGTGCTTGTTTTTTTTTAATTCAATCTTTGTTGTTTCTGCTCCTAGTTTGTACTAGAAGAGTTTGTTGAATCCTGGGGGATATAATTTTATTTATGTGGGCGAAATATCCTTAAGATTGTTGGAAAAATTGACTGCCCTTAAGGATATTTCGCCCACACAGTGATAAATAAAATTAGGCGTATCCCTCATGATTCAACAAGTTCTACCAGTTATTAAACTGAGAATATAACTAGCAGAAATCTCAAGAAAGAAACCCAGCATATAGGAGGAAAAGCTGATTCAGAAAGTTGTGTCAGAAAAAATGCGTCTTTAGCTCTCCAAAGACTATGCTTATATAGGTGTTGCTCCAACGGCTTAGTTTGACTATATTAAATGTAAAATAATTTACTAAATAATAAGTAAATAAAAAAATAATATTTCATAGAAGAAAAGCTTTTCCAAATCAAAATAATGGACATTCCCTTTGAGATACTATTAATTTTTTCAACAGTTTAAACTAAACTAAGGAATTTAACGTAAACAATTAAGAATTAAAGTGACAAACCGTATGATCACTTAATAATGATTAAGTGATTAATTTGTATACGAAAGACATATGTTTATAGTGATTAATGTTTATATGAACGACATATGTTTGTATTTATTTGGTATGGTGCAAACATAAGTGAGAATAAATTTTATTATTAAAAATACACAAATAGGACCTTGTGTTTAACTACCTTGCGAAATTAGAGAACCGAGACGGATTCAAACAACAGAATCAGGAAAAGTATCTTTTAACTAGGAAAACCTTTAATTTTTTGTCAACAATCTACTTCGTCTTTAACCCAAAATGCTGAACAAAAATTAACTTAGAGGAAAATTTCTGGTCCTTAATTTAAAGCACCGCAGCTTGTAGTTTCAGCTTGTAGAGGAAAGTTTCAGCTTGCACTAAAAATAATTGTCTCAAATTATTTGTCATTTTAGAAGTTCAAGACAAAATTAATTATATTTTTTCTTTTTTACCCTTAGAAATAATTATCCTAAAAAACTACAAACACTTTAATTATGGATAATTTTATTTAAATACCAAGAAGTTAACTTTGTTATCTTAAACACTTTAGTCATGTTTACACTAATGCAATCAATACTGTAAATACCGAAATTTTTTATGAAGTCTATTCAAACCAAAATTATACTCGAGTACATGATAATGAAAGAATATATAAAGAAAATTTGTGGTCTAACACCATTAGCAACATGAAGTTCAGAAAACATATTTAGATCTATCTGGATTAACGAAAATTTATGACTTTGTGTTGGATCCATGTTCATTTCAAGAATTTAGAAGCATTCTTTTTTATTGGAAATTTTAGGTTGGGAATGTTAAATTTTCAAATGGAACTAAAGTAACTTTCAAGTTGAATTTTTTGTCTCCAGAATAATTTTAGTTGAAAATTTTTCAAATCACTCGTTTGAAAATATTTTGAAGGAAAGATGATTTCCATTTCATGCAATATCTGTTAGAAGAGTTAATTTTACTGATTTGTTAATTTTATCCTAGGTGTCTTTTCATATATTATATAAAGCAAATCAATTACATTCACATTTGGTAAAAATATGAATAGAGATGACACATAAATTGAGAAAATATTTAATAAATAAAGGTTAAATATTAAGACATGAACAAGGGTAAAATAATCAAAATGTCATTCATAACGCATAATATTAGACGGAAAGAGTAACAAACGGGCCAGGCCGAAGTATCCGATTCTAACCTCCTATGCCGAAGTCAATATTAATTGCTGTTTGACCTTTGAAGTTTGGTTGACTACGAGACCCCATATAGAATTTTAATAATAGTCAACTTTTCAACTCATTGACCAGGTCAGCAATCCTTTGATTTTGTTACGAAAGAAAGTCCCACCACCAATAGGAGTTGGTCCAAACGCCTATCCACACGAAATATATAATGGATGGAGAATTATTATTACTAAATACTAACATGCTAAAAAACGGGGTATAATAATAGTAGAAAAAGACAACGCTTAATCCATATGCTCAAACCATAGGAAACAAGACACGCTTAGCATCTCTCTCTCTATATATATATATATAAAAGAGGGAATAGACAAAATGATTTGACACCTCTTTTTGGCCAAAAAATCTATTTATCTTTTTTCTTTTTCTTTTTTTTTTCCTTTTTCCTCATTCTTTGCTTCTTTTTCCCTTTCCTTAATTGTTTGTCTATTATTTTTATGTGGAGGTATTGAAGAGTTGTGACAACATTGAAGAGTTATAATTGTGGGGTAAGGAAGAGTCACACCGTTTATTCATAAAACTAATATACCGTTACATGTTCAACATTTATGTTTACAATAACTGTCATGTATCTTTCCTATTCATAACCCCCAATGCTTAATGTATAAATTTATGACACATTATTGTGTTTTCTCAGATTCATTTCATTATTTGATTGATCAGATTGTATGTCATCTTCATAAAGTTATAATCCGTCTTGGAAACATGGATAGCTGAGCAGGATCTTGTGTTGGCATTGTGCAATGCAGGAACGCAAGAGAAGTTATGCATATAGAGTTTATGCAGGATAATTATGTCTTCCTGATACTTTCTACCAAAACGCAATGACTATTACTGGTATCATTAAGCCAATCTTTTAATTTGCTTTTCTTTTCTTTTTATCTAGGCTATCTGTAAGTAATATTTGCATCATAAAAATTTTCTTTTATAAATTGTCTGAGAAAATTGTTAACTGTTTATCTTTCTTTTGTCTATTGAGTTCTGATATGGAGGAAACATCAAATGGATTACCATGCCTGCATGTGTTTTCAGCAATACCTTTTTGGTCATTGAGTTATATTATTCTTGTACTACCTTTTTGACGAATAACATGAAGTTACTAGAGAAACTTGGAAAATATTTTCATCACAACTTTTTTTTTAAAAAATTATCTCAGATAATAATCTCTGTGATTGTTAATAGCTTATGCTTTTCTTCTTCTTTTGTAGAATTAAGGTATTGATTTCTGATACGGAGGAAACATCAAATGGACATGCCTGCATTTTCCTCAATGCCGTTGAGTTGTAGTATTATTTACATTATCAATAATTGCTCTTCCACTTTTCAATATTTGTTTTAGTAAAAACAGAAAAAATGTACTCTTTTTCAAGTCGTTGGACTCAGTTTTTTTTTTTTTTCTCCATTACTATAGCTTCTGGTTTTTAATTGTGGTTACTTGAATTATAAGGGATGCTGACATGAGCTCGTGGATAGAAAAATATATAAAATGACGCACTTGCATCTATTTATTTCACTATTATTAAATCTGATGATAACCACTAGGGTTAGGAGAATTACTTTTGTTGCTTTGCAGTTTTATAAATTTGTGACTTTATCATTAAAGAAAAATAGAAAACCACAATGTGATTTTATTGTCTTAGTAAAATCGAATTTGTGAATTTGGAATATTTGGGTTGATTTTGTATATGGTTGAGAAGAAATAGACCTTAATTTTGTCTAACTTAGGGTTTCAAATTTAGTGTCAATGAGAATGAGTCAATTGTGTCACTCTTATTAATTTAATTGGGTAGTTTATACTTTTAATATTGGTTCACACAAACTATAGTTCCTGATACTAGAATTAGAAGAACAAGAATGAAAGAGGACAAGATATATAGAGGAGGTGCAATTTCACTTCAATTTTCAAAGATTGCAAAGATATTAGGATTCCTGTTAGGACAAATATATGAAAGTTAAGACGAAGTAATGTACCTTGAATACAAAATCATTTACTAGGTCTCCTTTATTTATCAAAAGTATATAAGCCAAAGCAGTCTGTGATGCTTCTTTTTTAGGTTTGAATGTATTAGAAGATTAGTATTCCTTAAGAATCAATACCGTGTTGACAGTTACATATACTATATAGTATATACATATATATATAGAGAGAGAGTGTGGGGCATGGAGGGATAGAAGAAAAAAGAGGATAATTACTATTCCGCTAATTTGTTCTCTCTCTTCATCAAAATTCTTTTTTCTTCTTCTGAAAGAAAATTTAATAATGAAAAAATATACTTTATCGAAGTTAACCAAGTTTCTTTTGGAAGTAATTTTCATATTATGTGTTATAATATATATTCTATATAATAACACCTTGCTATAACAATCAAAAAAATTTGGAACAAATTATAGAGAGGTTTGACTGTGTAATAAAAATATTATATTTGATAATTTCATACACATTTAAAAATACTTTTTTATATGCAAACACATGAAATATATTTTCTATTCCACTTAAATTTACAGAACTGTTATAAAAAAATTCACTGACGTCTTTTATAACCGCGCAAAGCGTGAACAAATTTACTAGTTATATAGTATTTCCCTAATAAATTAACCTTTAGTTAATACTATAATCTCTTTTGGTCCAAAATAGAAAAGAAAATTACTCCCTCGGTTCTATTTTATATAACAATAAATATTGCCTTATCAATTTATTTAAAAATAATAATAAAATATCTTTATATCTAAAAGTGAATTAACTTTAAATTTCTTATTAATAAAATTCTTTTATAGTTATACATGTCATAACATATTTAAAGATCATAATTTTTTTTAAAATTTTTTTTTTCCTTAAAAATCATTAAATAAAATAACGTCACGTTAACTAAAAACAGAAGAAAATTTTAGTTAGGAATTAGGCAAACTTCCCAGTTAAATCCACAAGAAAATTATAAATATCATGTTAGCAATAATAGAAATCGAGTAACACGTGTTGACAGGAGAGGAGAGTGTTACTTGCGAAACAATTCAACGAATTATAAATTAGGAAACAATAGGGGAAACTACTTTTCTCCTTAATCCACTTGATTCCATATGTTTAAGGTTTCCAAATTTTAACCTCCTCCCCCTTATAAATAGACCTCCTTCTCCAGTTTCTTTTCTTCTTAAACAAGTTTTAGCAAAGCAATAAGTACTTTAATTTCTCGTGCTATTTGTTTTTTCTGAATTAGAAGAAAAAATTACAGCAATCATGATGATGTCAATATTCAGTTCTTTTGATGCTCTCTCTGCTGAGATGTTTGGCCAAAAGGTGAACCGCTCTTGGGCACCGGCCAGTACTGAGAAGAAAGAACAAGAACAAGGGCTTTTGCCTCTTGTATCCGATCGCAAGAACGAGGCTTCTCCGCCGTCAACTTCTTCAACCGGTGGACTGAAGAAGGGCGAAGAGGCGACGGCGCGGTCATCTTCGCGACCACAGCAGCAAAAGAGGCCGAGGTTTGCACTGGAATTGGACGGCGTCCACTGTTTCGAAACCATCCTTCCCTATTGATATTCTTACAATAATTCCAAAATTGAAATTCTTTTTTTTTTTTGGGTTAAAATTGAAATTCTTTATTCTTGTCTGGTTGTAATTAACCATGGGCATGTAACCGTAAACTCCGTTGATACAATTTATTAAATCTGATAATTCTATTATTTTGATTTACTTGTTGGAACTACTTTATTTCATAATTTTTTTAACCCTTTTTTTAAAATATATTTTCCCCCGATCAAATACAGTTAAAGAACCGCTTCAACGACTAATGTATTCAGAACTAGTATTGAAATAGAAAAAGGTAAGGAAGACTGCTACAAAAGTGTAAGAAATTTTAGTGCAATTCCAACTAATTAACCATGGAAGCTAATTTTGACATAAATGGAGTCCGGGGTAATGATTTGGTGAAAGCTGGCACTTCCTTTTACAGGAAGCTAATTTTGACATAAATGGAGTCCGGGGTAATGATTTGGTGAAAGCTGGCACTTCCTTTTACAGCTTGTTTGGATGGTTGTTACTGTATAAGAACTTCATTTTATGTGTTTGACCCGGTCAATGGCAATAAAGCCTTTGAAGGCTGTGACGTGTCAACCTGACCCCAAAAGATCGATGTCAGGTGAGGAAGATAGGTCGTTGTCGAGGTCGAGATGGTTTAACAAAAGATAAGGACGAGCATTCGCCTTCGGTACGAAGTGATGACCAGTTTTAGTATTTAGATTCCCTAAAGAATTATCTACGGGATATTCATTTTTGTTGTTATCTAGGGTTTTGTGGCACATGTGCTCTTACAAATAGAAAGAGTTGTAGGCTAGAGGGGGATCGGACCTTTTGTAAAGAATATCATCAACATTCTCTGTGCAAGGTTCTCGCTTTATTGAATAGAAACAAAGCTTGACTTTACACTTCTTTTCTTTTACCCATCTCTCCCGATCCAAGAAGAATTGGAATATACATTTGCTTGTCATCATCCATCATTGTGAGAGAGCATACCTAAAGACTTCATCCTTATCGGGTGATCTTTGTCTTATTGACTATCTAAAAGCTATTTATTATCATTTATTACTACCTTTTACATTTATTAGTTTTTATTGCTCCAAGATCGTCTTAATTAATATTATACGGTACCCTGAAAGTGTTGGATTTGTCATTGAATATTGATATTGACTATGATTAACCCTATTTTTCTATAAATCTAATTGTATAAAAATCAAGATCTAATTTTTAGGTCATACAGTTTGGCGCCGTCTCTGAGAATTTCTTAGTCAAACTATCAGTTTTCATTCAGATCTACAACTTTTGTAACTTATTAACCTAATATACGACAAAGCTGTTTTTTTTTTCTTTGCATGAATTCCATGGTAAGTAACCAGGGAAAAGTCGACCAAGGAAAAGGAACAAGAGCGGTAGACAACATCCTGCTCAATCTAATGAGTGCCATCGACGAAGAGTACAAAACTCAGGATGAAGAAACAACTCATACGACATCCCCCAAGCGAGGGAAGTCACCGACACCCTTCTGTAGCATGACCAAACCAAACAGCAAAGAGGCTTCCGCATCAGCGGAAGAAGGAGAACCACCTGCCATTAAAAAGCTCCCGAAAGCCTGGCTAACGGATACCTTGGCTAGCGTGATGAACAAACAGATCACGTGCACGACCATGGAAACCCCAAGGGTCCTTGCGGCCCAACACAAGAGTGGGCAGGATGATCAGTTAAATCTCCCAGCTTCAGGTAATACCCATATAACTACTAACAGTGCAGGTGACAGTGCTCTCGCCGCCATGTTAAAACGAATGGAGGAAATGGAGAACGAGAACAAGGCACTCAAGGAACATATGAAAGAGCATCAAGAACGGGTAGACAAAATAATAGGAGCCCACAAAATGATACCAAAAAGAGACGCCGGTAGGTTCGTGGAATAGCCTTATAGGGAGGAGGTAGCTCTTCATGCCATACCAAAAACTTTCAAGATGCCCACATACCTTACTGATCCAAAGGACCATATGACCCATTACATCACTGCAGTAAAAGGCAACGACCTTACTAAAGAACATGTGTCCTCCACCTTGTTAAAAAACATTGGCGAAACCCTCACAAGGGGGGCGTTAACGTGGTATTCGCAGTTGTCGGCCCACTCCATAGAAACATTCGAGGAAATGGCGGATGAGTTCGTAACGGCGCATACAAGGGCCAAGAAAGCCGAAACCAGGGTAAATAAATGACATCTTCGCCATTAGACTATCCCTAGGGGAAGGAGTGAGGGACTTCTTGGCTCGGTTCAATAGGGTGAGGATGACCTTACCGAATATCTCTAAAGGAATGGCCATAGCAGCCTTCCAGAATGGGCTAAACAGAGAAGGGTCGGGGGCGACCTGGAAGCTGCTAAGCCGATTGATGAAATATCACCGGCCACCTGGGACGAGATCCATAATGCCTATTGTGCTGAGGTCAGAGCAGTCGAATAAGACCTCAATGGGCCAACCTGACGGCTCATCGCAATACGAACCCAAGAGGGAACGTAGGGACAACACAAGGAGAGACCCTCGGATGCAGCGATCGGGCAGAGATCGACATCAACCTTATGTCAGACCACCATCCCCAGCTTCCGCTACGAAGATAGCCCCTCTAGGACAAGATCAGACATCCACAGAAACGACCGAGGTATGGTCCCCTTACTATTCGCTCATAATTTTTGTGTGTCACCAACAGATGTGGTCTACGCACTCGAGAAGCTCGGACCGAAGGTGAAGTGGCCACTAAAGATGAGGTCCGACCCAAGCATAAGGAAGTTGGACGCCTTCTGTGTGTTCCCCCAAGACCGAGGACACAAGATGGAAAACTGCCACGCTCTAAGGTTAGAAGTGGCGACCCTGCTGCAACAAGTACACCTCAAAAGAGTTGCTCAATGACAAAGACAGGAACACCTTAGCAAAGGGACGAGAACGCCCAGGTCCGCCAAAGCCGTCGTCTCCCGCTCGTACTATCAACATGATTATTGGAGGCAGTGACGACACCTCCATCAATGGCATCAAGTTTACCTCCACTCACAACTTCAAGAGTTCGATCACCCATGAACGGTATGACGACCTCGAAGAGAGTATCATCTTCGATGCATCAGATACCGATGGTTTGACTTTCCCTCACAATGATGCAATTGTCATTATTTTACGCATTCTTGATACTGATGTTAGGAGGATTATGGTGGACAACAGAAGTGGAGCGTGCATTATTCATCCTCGAGTCCTCGTACAGATGCAACTCGAAGATAAGATAGTGTCGCGCTGCTTTAAACTAACCGGTTTTAACAATGCAGTTGAATGGACTTCGGGCGAGATCACACTCCCCGTCCTCACCAGCGGGGTGATGCTAGAGACCACATTCCACATCATGGTCTAGGATACGACATACAATGCCATCGTAGGTAGACCATGGATACACCCCATGAAGGCAGTCCCCTCCAGCCTGTACCAAGTGTTCAAGTTCCCAACCCCTTGGGGAATATTCCGCATACGAGGGGAACAATGCACATCCAAGGAATGCTATCTGATCGCCCTGGACAACACGACTACAAAACAAAAGAAAGAAAAAGAAAAGGAATCATAATAATCAGAATAGTCGAGTCCCTACAGGTCAAAGCCAAGGACACCATTATGGATCCAGAAATGGTCGAAGCTGCAGGATCGACCATAGAGGACCTCGATCCCATCCAGCTAGATCAAAGCGACCCCAGCAAAAAGTCCTACATAGGCTGCAAACTCAAAGGCCTAGGTAAGTTTAGTCAATTCTTAATAGCTAACGTAGATTTGTTTGCTTTTAGCCATAAAGATATGTCAGGCATCCCCAAAGATATAGCCACGTACAAATTAAATGTCGACCACTACTACCCTTCAGTAAGGCAGGTTCAATGAATGTTCAACCCTGCCATCAATGAGGTCGTCTATAAGGAAGTCGAGAAATTATTGGCCAATGGCTCTATTAGGGAGTCGAAGTACCCCAAGTGTATTGCTAAAGTGGTAATGGTAAAAAAGAAGAACGGGAAGTGGAGAATGTGTGTGGACTTCACCGATCTAAACAAAGCCTGTCCGAAGGATTTGTTCCCACTGCCACACATTGATCAACTTATCGACGCCACAACAGAACATGAGTTGCTGAGCTTCCTGGACACTTACTCGGGCGACAACTAGATACTTGTGGAAGAGGATGACCAGGATAAAACTACATTAATCACTCATAGTGGAAGTACCGCTACAGGGTCATGCCATTCGGGTTAAAGAATGCGAGGGCTACCTATCAAAGGCTGGTCACGAAGATGTTCAAAAACCAGTTCGACAAGGCCATGGAAGTATACATCGACGTCATGTTAGTCAAATCCTTGAGGGCCGAGGATCACATCAACCATCTGAAGGAAGCATTCGAAATATTGAGGAAATACGAGATGAAACTGAACCTCGAGAAATGTACATTTGGCTTAACTTTGGGTAAAGTTTTAGGTTTCCTGGTATCACATCACGGAATCTAGGTCAACCCAGATCAGATTAAGGCTATTGATGAGATATCAGAAAGAAACAAGTCCAAAGACTGACGGATCGAATCGCTGCCCTATCTAGATTTATCTCGAGGTCGTCCGACAGGTGCCACAGATTCTTCAACGTACTCAAAAAGGACAATGGCCTTGAATGGAAACCAAAATGTAAACAAGCACTGAAAGAACTCAAGGAATACCTGTCATTGCCGCTCCTGCTCTCAAAGCCTGAGCTCGGAGAACATCTTCTTGTCTACCTTGCCGTTTTAGAAGTAGCGGTAAGTGCAGTCCTTGTTCGGGAAGACAAGGATACACAATCTCTAATTTATTATATTAGTAAAACACTTATCAATGCTGAGACGAGATACCCTTACCTCGAGAAATTGGCCCTGGCCCTTGTCGTAGGTTTAAGAAAGCTCAGGTCGTACTCCCAATGCCACCCAATCTCGGTCATTACCATGTTTCCTTTGAGGAACATACTGCACAAACCCGAACTGTCGGGGAGGCTGACCAAATAGGCAATAAAGCAAAGTGAACACGACATCACTTACCAGCCTCACACTGCCATAAAATCACAAGTGCTCGCTGACTTTGTCACGGACTTTAGCGCCAAGGTAG